GGCCCAGTGTGCCAGGGGAGGAGGGCGAGTCCAGCCCATAGGTAGCTGGAGTAGCAGAGGTGGGGATTTCTGAGCCAGGAAACGGCCTGCTTTCTGTTTCCGCTCTGCTCAGCGAAACGAGCCTTCATTTACAACACCACGTACGCAAACCCATTTACAGGGAGACCAGAGCTGACTCCTACCGCTGTCTTCTCCTCCGTGTGCACACAACCCTGCAGGGGCCCGAATTCTGGCTCTGGGCCAATGGGAACCATTGTTTTAAGTCTCTGTTTTAAAAATTCCCTCCTGATGTATCCTGAGGTGTGATGGGTGATGTTGGCAGGTTTAGGGCTGGCCCCACTGATCCCTCGCTCCCTGGTTCTTGCTGATCCTCTAAAGGAAAGTCTGTTTCTGCATCTCCCCAGGTTACAAATGCAGTGGGGGAGATGATGCAAGCAGGGGGGCAGAAGTTACCTCCTTCCCACCCCCAAGGCCTTGGTTTTCCCCTCACCAGCCCAGGCGGTGCCCCTAAGGGGCAGCAGGGCCTGTGGGGGTTTCAAACTCTTCCTCTGCATAAGGCTTCTACTCAGCATGTAGCTGTCCTCTTCGTCTGTCCTGGTGTCTGGGGCTGATCGCTGGATGCTGTGCCCGCCCCAACCACAAGCTGAGGATCTCGTGCTCGTGGAAGCAGGGCCGGGGTAGGTCCGCTCTCCTATTTCTCACCCGGACATATGCATGTGCTGCTCATCCCCCGGTGCCCCATGGGAGTTCCCTGCCCACACTGAACGGGAGTGGACAGACGCCGCACTGCGGGCAGGATGAAGGGAGAGCAGGGTTTACTGCCGTGGTTAAGAACAAGGGCTTGGCGTTTTTATCCCTGTTCTTGATTATTCTCTTTTTTTTTTTTTTTTTTGTGGGGGGGTCAACTTAGGCCCCAATTTCTGCAATGCTTTCTTCCTTCCCTGCCCCGCCCTGCCCCCAGAGCTGTTACAAAATCTAAAATGACTAGGAGTTTTTCAGAATGATAACAAATGTGCACACGCGCTCGCTCGCTCGCTCGCTCTCTCTCTCAAATCCTCCTTGGCTGTGTTGAGAAACCCCACCAGCAGTGCCCTGTGTGTGCCAAATGGGAGGACGTGAAACAGGCTTGTGAAACTATCTCGTCTGCTTTCATCATCCAAACCGAGAAAAGGTAAATGAGCTCCATGGAAAGTGAAAAACACATTTAAAACCTCCCCCCTCTCCCTCTGCCCCTATTTATTCATCTGAAATGGGGTCACGGGCACCTGGGGCATTTTTAAAATTTTTCTTCTAGACGCAGACGTTCCATGAGAGACGAACCTTTCGTCCACCCAGCTTTGGCAGCGTTTATTTGTAGTTGGGTTCTGGTAGCACGTATCTGTTCCAGACGAGCCCATGACCCCACTTGACTCGGGGCTCTCAACCACAGAGCGAGAGAGAGGCCCCGGCCTGGAGAGTTTACAATCTAAACAGACCAGCCTGAAAAGGGTGGGAGATAAGAACAGCGCTAAGCTGGGACATGATTTACCCCAAGTCACCCAGCAAATCGGTGGCAGATGCAGGAAGAGACCCTGGGTTTTATCTCAGGCCAGTGCTCAGCTATATTACAATAAAAAACCCACCCTACGGAGTCTGAGCCAGGGTGAATTGGTTCAGGCTTGCGAGGCTCTGGCTGCAGGGCTAAAAATTACAATATAGACATTTGGGCTGGAGCCTGGGCTCTGAGACCCTCCTCCCAGGGTTTCAGGGCCCTGGCCCGAACATCAAGGCCAGCTGACCTGGGCCAGCGGGGCCATGCTACAGGTCTTTCAGGGCCGTACCCGAGCCACACTGTCTCCCTGTTGAATCTCTGCATTACTGCCACATGATTCATGTAGCCTTGACCTCTGAGGGTTAATTTCCACTGGCAAGAAGTTGTCCCCCATTTGTATATTTTACAGCTGCATCCCACGCCTTCCCAGCACGCCGAGGTAATTAGGAGAAAAACGTAGCTCCCATACAGAACGGGCCTTTTGTAGCTCAGCGGCAGCCCAGAAGCTGTGATTCGTCTGCCATCACCTCTGCAAGTCACCGCAAATTAGACTTCAGTCAGCCCCCGAACGCTCCTGGGAGTCAGCTGCATTCCCACGAGCCCGCAAAGTCAGAAAGGCAACTGGCCAGGGACTGACCCTGCTGGAGACTTCGGGAGCGCTGAGTTCGATTTGCACGTCTCTCATGAGGTGGGCTAAAGGTGAAGCTACCTTTGGTAGGGCTCTGACCCTCTCTCGCTGTGGTGTCCGTACACCTCCGCTTCCTTAGCTCTATTAACCCCCCTTTGGGGCGGGGCAGGGTTACCAGCCCGACCTTACAGCTGGGCCGCTGAGATCCAGCAGCGATAAGACCAAGGTGACCCACGCAGGGTGTGGCAGAGGGAATGGAACTGGGGCCTCCTACGCTCCAGCTTAGCATCCTAATCACAGCAACAAGAGCTCTGTGAGGTGCCTCATGGGCTGGGGAAGATGGACCCTACAACCCCTCAGTGCCACCATGTTTTCTCAGTCACGGGCCAGGGGGTGCATCTGCACCAAGTGGTTAGTGGCTAAGGGGCACCCTGCCAACGTGCATGCCAGCATCCCACCCCTCTCCCCCTCCCCCGGATTGGTGTTCTGTGCCCAGGCTGGGGTGGTCAGCGTGTGCCCATACCACAAACCCTGGGCAGCACCATCCCAGAAGCTGGTGTCGAATTTCTCATGCCTGTTGTATGGGGAGGAAGGGGCTCACTAAAGGGGTGGAGAAGGGGCAAGAAACAACTTTCCTATACGTGACTCAGAGCCCAGTCCTGTGAGATGCTGTACGCCTTCATTTCCAGCTGCAGTCAATGACCCCTTGGGCTAAAGGGGACTCTCCTGTGGCAGTACAGGACCTATGACACGCAGCTCAACTGCACCAATTCCATCCACTAAAGCACAATGACATACATTCCCCCACTAGCCCGGCAGTTACACTATCATCTTCTAGTTCCATGGGCGGGGGCACAGTGATCACAAAGGGCCCTCCAGGGAGAGGCGAGAGAAACACCTTTCTTGTGGCTCAGAGAGCTGTGGATGACAAGGATAGGCCTGCTTCTGGCCAACTCATTTGCTTTTCCCGTTCTGTGTTCCCTTCCTCCTGCCAACACTGCCCTGCACTGACCTCCGGGGCCATCCAGCTGCAGAGCCGAATACTGCAGCTGCCCCAGCTCGGTGGAGAGTTGAACCCAACCGAAGGCGCTTTGGGGAGGTTCTGGCCCTAGCCCAAGGAATGCGGGTGCAACGGAGCCTGCTGGATGGGGCACTCTGGCCCCTGCTAGGGCTGGCGGCTGGGCATAGACAGGGTGAGGCGCCCAGGTTTAATCAGTGCTGCTGCCCCAGCCGGGGGGCCAGCATTACACACTGGGCTGCTGTGTGCAACGAAAGGCAGTCGTTCAGCACCCCTGCATGGGCCAAGGCACGGCCCCTCTAGAGAAGGCTCAGGCCTGTCTCCAGGGGATGCGTGCTGCAGCTGGGCCCTGCCCCAAGCATCTGAAATCACCTGCCCCGCAAATGGGGCGTGAACTCCAAAGACAATTCCCCCCTTTGCTGGGTGCCTGACTCCACAGTGCCCGTAGCCAAGCACCCGGCCAAGCCAATCCGTGTCTGACCAGCACCGGTGCCTGCCTCTGCTCCCTGGGCATCCTGGAGCATCGGCCTGGCCCCCCTGGCCATTACATGCAGCGCTCACGCTGCGTGGCCCAGGCATTAGGGGTGGGGGACGGTGAGGAGAGCAGGCTGCCTGGCCCCTGCACCGAGCCCAGCACAACCCAGTTGGCTCAGGCCCAGGCTGGCCTAGGGCCAAGGCTTTAGGACACACGGCCTGGGACCCAGCACTGGCCAGGCAGGCCCACCCTGGAGGTTCAGCATCCCTCACCCACCGCCTGCCGGAGCTGTGACAAAGGGAGCTGTTTAAAGAGCTTAAAGAGCTTCCGCCCCTGACTGGAGCTCAGCCCAGTACATACAACGCTGACGCTGCCAGATGCTTGGCACATACTGGGCAGCGCGTGGGCTGGGCTCGGCCCTCACACAGCCCGTGCGCCTTCCAGGCTTGGGCCGAGCCCGCGACTTAACCTAATGGAGCCTCACCGCTGCCCCTGGAAGGTGGGTCGGGCTCACTGCGCCCCAGTTTGGTGATGGGGAAACTGAGGCACAGAGCGGCCCAATGACTTGCTGCAGGAAGCCTGTGGCCACGCCCTGTAGCTACCTTGGGCTCATCAGAAAGCCACATGGGTTGGATTGGGTCGTGATACTGTAGAACATGGCTTTGGCGAACAGGGAGAGGGCTGCAAACCACCTCCCCCATCCCCACCAGGGGCTGAGCTGTTCACGGGGGAAACGCGTGCTGATCTGCAGCTGGTCTGTCCAGCGATTCTGGTTGAATGGGGAAGGGGGGGAAGCCTCTCTGGCACGCCAGCCTCTCTTACACCAGCGCCGCGCTTGGGTCACGGCTCAGCCTCTAGCCGCTAGCCAGCCTCGGCCGTCCGTCTCTAACCCCGTCAGGCACCTTGCTCTGCGTGTTCTGGAGGGCAGCTCTTTGTCAGGATATTTGTTCTGCTTTGTCTGCACCCACCCTCCGCCACAGGCGCACGTGTACACTTGTGCAACGCACACGCTGCAGTCTCCACCACTTTGCTTGCTGCCTGGCCCCTGCTCAGACACCCTGGCTGCCGTTCCGGAGACGGGCTCAGAGCTTTGTGGCACCTGTCGTGACGGCCAGGTCAGCCCAGCGCAGTCATGGGGAGTCTCCCCTGTGCCTCGCTGGTAGAAATGCTACCTGAATGGTCCTGGTACGAATGCCAGGCAGGGGAGGCACCAACCACCCCACCTCCTGTCCATGTGGCCGGCAAAGCGGGGGCTCTCTGGGGCAGTCAACTCTCCCATCTGGCCAGCAGGAGGCAGCCACACCCACCATCGGCTCTGACCCCCCGCAGAAAGCAAAATGAGGCAGGCAAGGCTCAGAAACCTTGTATTACAAAAATAATCAAAACAAGCGCGTGGCCGGGGCCGCCAGCCCGGGCTCTGGTGCAGAACGTACCAATCGACAGCAAATAGAAAAACCAGACAGACAACGTTAAACGGGCACGGGGCAACATCGTGACGGCTGATCAACCCCAGCTGACCTGAGCTGCTGCAACCCAAAGAGCGACCCGCCCCCCGCTTCTCCCCCCTCCCGCCAGCACCAGCAGGCAGGACGGGGGTTGGGGGGGTTGACACCAGGGCACTGGTTCTGTGGACTCCAGCTGCCCCCTTCTCCAGGGCGGCAGACACCTGGGCCTCGTGAATGGGGACGGGGGTTAAAGGTAATGCGCGTTGCATGCCCGTCTGGTGGGCACCCAGTGGCTCTTCCCCGATTTCTGTAAGGGGGGGCCCTATAGATATTAGGGGAACCACCCCATCTGCCCCGGCCAGCCCTGACCGTCTCCCACCGAGCACCTGCTCTCAAGGCTTATGCTCAATTCAGGTCGGCCCCCTCCAACCGTCCCCACTGAGCCTTGGTCCCAGAACCCTCCCGCCCCAGTCAGGTCCTTCACCTGCCAAAGGACACCCCACCCCAGCCCCGGGGCTGCCTGCAGCCAAGCGGCCTCTGCCTGACCCCAGCCGGCTCTGCGGGTCGCCTTTGCTTTACAGCAGCTCAGTCAGCCCTCGGTTCAGCTTTACGCCCCCCGTTGCCCCTTCTGGGTTCGGGGCGGCAACGGGCCCCCATCACGCCGTCTTGGTCCCGCTCTCCGCCTCCTTGTGCGCCCACAGCTCCTTATGCTGCTTGCGCCCGAAGCCCTCGTCGTAGTTGCCTTTGCTCTTGAACAGCTGCTGGAAGTGGGCCTTGCAGTAGAACTCGCCGTGCAGCGCCGCGTAGCTCCCCAGGCTGAAAGGAGGGAGGCTGGGATCAGCGAGCCCGCGGCCCGGGGGGCGGGCAGCCGAGCGCCGGCAGACGCCGGCAGGCCACAAGGGGGCGCAACGGGAACTCGAAGAGCGACAGCGCAGCGACTTCCCACGGGAGAAGGCGAGGCAGGGGGAGCAGGGCGCGGCGGCGCGGAGGGGCTCGGGGCGCGGAGGGGGTGCAAGACGGGAGAAAAGGCCTGTCAGTCACCGGGCACGCAGCCTCCACCCCCCGCGCGAAGACGTGGCCTTGCTCCCAGCTGGGGCTGGGTCTTTAGGGTAGAGAGTCTGGGAAACATCCTTCCAAACTCCCGAGCCAGCCTTTGGGGAGCTAGCGACGCTCCCACGACTCCCGGCTTTCCCTCTGGCCCAGCGCGGGCTGGCCTGGGGCGCATCAGTGCCCGGGGGGCCGCTGGTTGCATTCAACCGACTTTCGAGCTTCCTCCCTTAATACCTCTGCTCCAGCCATGCGGAGCACCTGGGCAGGCCACTCCGGCCGGAGCAGCGTTCCGGTCCTCGGGCACCTCCGGGAGAGCTCTGGGCGGTGCCCCGCCTGGCACGGCTTTTCTTAGGACTGCAGCACTTAATCCCGAGTTTGAGCAACGGGCTGTGACTCCGGGAGGCTCAGCCCAACCTTCCCCCGAGCCCAGCCCCCTCCTCACCTGAGCTTGGCATGGCAGTGCTTGCAGCAGAAGCAGGCGTTATGGAAGACGAATTTATCGGCCACCAGCCGCTCCATGGGGTAGACGGGTTTTTGGCAGGCCGCGCACATCTCCTTCACCTGGGCTTTCAGGCTGAACGACTGAGCCGCACAGAAACCAAAGGGAGACGCTGCTGAGCACCCGCCAGCGTCAAGGAAACACAGGTGTCTCGCCGCCCCCCCACTGGGTCCTTAGCAGCGTTTCGAATTAGCCCGAATGCTGGGGCGCTGGGCCTGTGCAAACCAGAGCCGTCCACCCCCCCAGCAAATAGCTCTTCCTTGGAGGTTTCCACCCCGACTGTGACCCAGCCCAGCCCCGCTTCGCTTGACAGCGGCTACAGGCCCAGGGGACAAGGTGGATGTGGGTACCGGCTGCCTCGTGATCTTGTTCTTTCCATATATCACCTGTCACGCTCGCCGGGCAAAAGCCACCCCCTGCCCCAGCCCCCGCACGCCGGACCCACCCATTGCCTTTGCGTGCGGCGGCCGCCCCTAGCGCGGGGACGTGCGGGACAGGTACCTTGGAACGCTGCACCGCGCTGCCCCCAGGGGTGCTCCTCGCCTCCTAAAAGGGGGAGAGAAATCCAAGTGAGAGACTCCCGCAACGTGCGGCAGGAGAAGGAGCCGGCCAGGCAGCGAAGAGACGCCTCCTGCCTGGCTGGGGAGCAGGGAGGTCGTGGCAGATTAGACACGTGTGGGAGGAGGTTCCTTTTATAAGGAACTTTTAGGTTTGTTGCTGATGACACACCGGGCTTTATTTTTCACGCTCCATGCGAGAAAGCACCGACTTCCTCCTAAGGCTTCTGGGTAACGTAGTCCAACGGGCATTTCCTGTACTAAGTAGTACCACTAGAGGGCACTCAACATGCTTAGGTCAGCATTTTCAAAAATGCCCCCACAGTCAGGGCCAGATTTTTCCAGGGCTCAGCATGTTGGGTCCACTTTTAAGAAGTCTGGCCTCTACTCTGACCCCTCATTGGGACCTGAGCGCTTTTGAAAATGTGCCCCCACCCCCAATCAACACGGGTACCAGACTGGCGGACACAGCCCTCAGCCTCTGAATCCTCAGGCATTGCAGACCAGAGTTTGGGGGCTAGCGGCTTCACCCCACTCTACCTGCTGTCCCTCGTCATACAGGAAGACCAGAGATTTCATAATGAGACAGGCCAAGCAAGAGCTTAGTGTATGATGGCCACCCTTAATCCATGGCTCGGGAATTATGCTCGTTGACACATTCACCCACAACTGCAGCCCATAATCCCGTCAGTGATCTGACTGGCTGGCTGCATTTATTCTTTCGTTGTATTACAGCCGTGCTGAGACACTGCAGCTGAGCTCAGGGACCCATCGCAGTAGGCGCTGCACAGACCCCCAGTTGCTTCCCCAAAGAGTTCCCCAAAGCCAAAGAGAGAAACCAGCTGAAGGGTGAGAAAAAGGAAGTCTCCATTTTACAGATGAGGAACTGAGCACAGACCGGTCACGTGATTTGCCCAAGGTCACCCAGCCAGCCTGTGGCACACCAGAGAATTGAACCTAGAGCTCCTGAATCCCGATCCATTATCTCAGCCACAAAACCAGCCTTCCTCTCTGACTCCTTCACTTCCCCCCCCCCCGCAGCCTCCCCAAGCACAGACACTAACGCAATGCCAGCTGCATTAAACAGACGGCAGCTAATTGGAGAGTTACTTGCTCTGCTCCATTTGCCTCCCCCCAAAAGGATCGACCCTGTTAATAATCTCAGCGAAAGCACAGACACAAAGGAATATAGGGAAATGCGTCATTCAAATATTACCTGCAAATAAAAACATGCTAACAATTGCTAGGTCTAAAAAATATCTAACAGCCTATCACCGGTACGACGTTTCTACAGGCTGGTCCCCGACCTCTAGGGGCACATTGTCTATTATGTCTCACCCGTTAACTAGTTGCGTTAATATTGTCCAGTGTTTGTTTGCTGGGCGTGTTGTACGTGCTGTTGAACAAAAAGAATGTTTGTGAAATTACAACCATCAGCTCAAATGGCCTCTCCGGATATTGCTATGAACCAGTTGTATAACACATGCCCCCCTCAAGAATTGGTCTTCAGGGATCAAAAGGGGGCCAAGCAGTAGCAAAATTTTATATTTTGTATTTTGTATCATTTAATATAAAAAATAATAAAATAATAAATTACATTATTAAATGTAGGTTTCAGAGTAGCAGCCGTGTTAGTCTGTATTTGCAACAAGAACAGGAGGACTTGTGGCACCTTAGAGACTAACCAATTTATTTGAGCATAAGCTTTCGTGATCTACAGCTCACTTCATCGGATTAGTCTTCATTGTTAGTCTCTAAGGTGCCACAAGTCCTCCTATTATTAAATGTATTTTGAGTAGCAAAAAGGAATGGCCTAATGTGCCATTGGTAGAAATGTATCAGCCAGAATTTCTTTGTGTCTGGACTAATTTCAAGGCAGTAACAAACCTTTAAGGGTCACCACTTTGTTGTAGGTTTAGCATTTTAAAATAAGTAAAAGAATGCTGTACTCGTTTTTCTTTTGCATTGCAATTTAATGTTCCTGTTCAAAATGTTCTGTGTAGATTAATTCTGTTTTGTGTGTAAATGAAAAACGTATATTAAAAAGTAAGTGCAAAGGTCATCACTCAACCAAATATTCAAAAAACAACAAAAAACCCAGAGGCAAACACAAGAGCGCCAGGAGGCTGCAACACGCCGCTATTAAAATGTCAAAAAAGGGCAAATTAACAACTCAAAAAATAAAACAAGCACCTATCAATAAAAACAAAATAGTTATAATCAAAACCAGTGTAAAATAATTCCCTTAAAAACTTAATAAAAAAAAAAAAAAAGAAAAAGCACTTGTCAAACAACAATTAATGATGTGCAAAACTCATTGGTCCCAATAAAAAAAATCACTATGTAAACAGGGTGCCTTGCCATAAAACTTTGGGTTCGTCCTGCCAAGACTTCCCCGGAACATCATGTCGTGACCGACAGAACCCGGCTCCTCCCTACCCGTGATCAACCGAGCTGGCCGCTAATTGATCCAGACTCTGGACTGGTAACTATAAGACCGACTTGCGGTGCTGAGTGTGTGTAATGTAATTAAATGCATATGCTAATTGTTGTATCTTCAATAAACGTGGTGTATTGCCTTTTCCCCTGAAAAGGATCCCGTGTGCTTAACAACACTCTGGTGGCACACAGGGCCCTGCACCCTGGGGCCGCCGATGTCAGCTGTATCATCTCCCCCAGCCCTGGTTACCAGAGATTCTACTGCCACTCCACCCCTGCTTCATCTGCCCCATCACCTCACCCGCTCCACCCAGTGGCCTGACTCTGCTCCCCTGGCTTGTCACTGACAGTGCAATGCGAGTGTGGCTCCCAGTGCGATCTGGGAGCACTGGCGTAAGTGACTGTGTGTCGCACGTGGCGGTGGAGAATCAGACCCACAGAGTTCATCGCTCAAACAGCCGTTCAGGAACAAAGGGGTTAATGGGCTTCTAGCAAGTTACTCAGCAGCATAACCCAACTCAGGATGCAGGGAAGTCAATGAACTGGGTAATGAAAATATGTCAGTTTCAGCCCTGCTTGCTATAGCTTTGTAACTCCAGGCTTGGCTGCTGCTTCAAAGACACCCCTGACCGACTCTCTCCTTCCCCTCCCTCCCCAGCCTCCGCTCTGTCCCCCCACAAGAGCCTGGTACTGCAAGAGTCTTCTCTCCAGCGCCTGCTGTCTGGAACAGCCTCCCCCTCTCTCTCCAGCCACCCCCTTGATTCTCCCTCTCCTTTCCCAGCACCGCCTCTTCTCCCTCTGGCTCCATCGGTATTGTGGGGGAAACAGTTTGTGTAACACACATGCTGGAAATGCCCATTTCCAGGAGCCGCCTCTGCAGACATTTCCCAGCTGTTCTCAGTGCCTGGCACAATACAGCTAAGGCCAGGGGCCAAATTCCTCTCTCAGGCCAGGTCTACGCTACAGCCCTATATCGGTATAACTACGTCACGCAGGGGTGTGAAAAAACCACACCCCTGAGCCACGGAGTTACTCCAACCTTACCCTCCATGTAGACAGCGCTGTGCCAACCGGAGGGCTTCTCCCGTCAACATAGCTACCACCTGTCGGGAGACGCCGACGGGAGAGCTGTGCTGCTGTAGGTGAAGACAAGCCCTCACTCACACCAGCCCAAGCCTGGAATCACCCACTGACGTTAATGGAGAGAGATCTGTAGGAAGGAGAAGAGAATCAGGCCCTGTGAAACCAGATGGACTCCCCTGGCTGGGCAGAAGCAGCTGCAGGATTTAGAAAAGAAGCTGCCCCTTTGCAAGGGGTCAACTGCAGAGCAAAACCTCCACGCAGTCCCACAGACGCCCATGTAACTGACCTGCACATCTCGTCATTGATGGGTAAATGGGTCCAGATCACTCTGTGCCTAGCTCCCGCTCGGACTACACACAGTCTGCCCAGACATCTCTGTACCTGGCCAGCACACTCAGTGCCCCCAGGAACAACTTCGCTGAACCGGGAAAAACATCATCACTTTGAAGCTGAAATACGTCCATGGGCAGGTCTAACGGCAGTGTCCCATGTCTCAGCGCTTCTCAGCAGCCTCCGGTCAAGCACACTATGTGTTAATATCCCCGGGGGAAGGACTAGCTCCTATCCTAGCAGGGGATGTTCTCAGGTCTTTTTCCATCTCTGCCTAGTCTGATCCTAAATGACACATATGCTCCTGATGGGGGTCACAGACGGCCATGGAAACACAAATAAGCACTCAGCACCACAAGGCAGGAAAGGGGGGAGCGGTAACACGGCGGGCCGGCCACAGACCCAGCTAATCAGATTTCTGCTTCCTTGGGGTCAAATTTCCGATTGCTTGTCAGTCGCAACTGGGGCGCAGATTTTCCAAAGTACTCAGCAGTCCCCACTGTGATATTTAATGGCCCAATTTTCACCAGTGCTCAGCACCCAACACGCTGAGCTCTTGTGAAAAGCTGGCCCAAAAGGCACCACCTCTGATCAAACCCTTCCTTAAGACATCGCTGATCCCGATTCTTTTCTAACATGGTCGGTGCTGGTCAGTATCCTCCAGATAGTCTGGGCCCGTTGTTTGCAGCCAATGGGACAGTAGCATAGGTGCTGGAACTAGGAGTGTGGACGCACCCCCTAGCTTGAAGTGGTTTCTATTACACACAGGGTTTGCAGTTCGGTTCAATGGCTCTTAGCCCCCCCCCCCCCACTATAAAAACTGTTCCAGCACCCCTGGATAGTAGTGAATTTGTTGCTCAGACTAGTCACCGTCCCTGTTGTCTGGACGGCCAGCCCAGTCACGTGGCGTCATCTCTGCTCCCTGATTGGACGACTCAAACATGGTCAATGGTGACCGATGCAGTTTTGGAAGAAGACACGGTCATGCTAAAGAGGGTGAAAACACCAGGGATCATGGCCGCGTCGCGACCAGAGTGAGGAATACAAGCCTCCAGCCCAGGGGGCCACGCGAGCCGATTTTTAATGGCTCGCTGCTGCCAGCCGGGGTCCCAGCTGCCGGCCCCGCTCAGCCCACTGCCGAACCCAGGCTGGGACCCCGGCAGGCAGCAGCGAGCCATTAAAAATCCTGCCCGCCCCGGCCCACTCTTCTCCGCCCCCACACGGGCAGGGTGAAGAAGCTTGGTCCTGCCAGAGGCTGCTGCAGGGCAGCCAAGCTCCCCCCTGCCCCTCCTCTTCCCCCAGCCTGCTGGGGTCCTCCCTCCTCCTCTCCCCGCTCCCCCGCCTCTTCCCCCAGCCTGCTGGGGTCCTGCCCCTCCTCCTCTCCCCCTCCCCTGCCTCTTCCCCCAGCCTGCTGGGGTCCTGCCACTCCTCCTCTCCCTCCCTCCCTGCTGAGGAATCAGCTGATGGCCCTTGCCAGGGAGGGGGAGTAGCGGAGCCGCAGAAGAGGCAGGGGCGGGTCTTGGGGCATGGGAATGGAATTAGGGCATATCCCCTCCAGCCCCCTGCCGTGAGCTGCTCTGGGCAGGGGGCTGGGAGCACCCCCACAACCCTAGCCCACACCCCCAGCCTTCTGCCTTGACTCTTGCACCCCCCACATTCCCACCCCCACCCTGAGCACCAAAAGGGAGCTCCTGCACCCCCACCCCCACATTCGCACCTGCACCCCTCACACCAAATGGGAGCTGCCCAGGAAAGCACTCCACACCCAGAACTCCTGCCCCAGCCCTGAGCCCCCTCCCTCATTCTAGCTCCTGGCCAGACCCTGCACCCCAACCCCCAGACCTGCTCCTTCACCCCCAGCCCTGTGCTCGGTGCACTCCCACCGTCAGCTCAGTGTGGAGAGAGAGGAAGAGAATGGGCTAGAACCAGGGAGAAGGTAGGTTCCCACTATGTGGGCAGAGCTGGGATCCCAGACCGGCAGGGGGCTGAGCGGGGCCCTGGCTGGCAGGAGCCGGCGGACGGTACCCCAGACCGGCAGCGGGCTGAGCCGCTCAGCCCACTGCCGGTCTGGGGTCCTGGCCACCAGCTCCTTGCCAGCCGGGGTCCCGGCTACAGGCCCCGCTCAGCCCCCTGCCTGTCTGGGGTTCTGGCTGCCGGCCCCTTGCCAGCCAGCGTCCCAGCCGCAGGCCCCGCTCAGCCTGCTGCCAGTCTGGGGTTCTGGTTGCCGGCCCCTTGCCAGCTGGGATCCTGGCCGCAGGCCCTGCTCAGCCCCCTGCCAGTCTGGGGTTCTGGCCTCAGGCCCCGCTCAGGCTGCTACCGGCCTAGGTGAACGAAACCCCAAGCCGGCAATGGGCTGAGTGAGCCGGCGTCGTAATTTAATTTAGTTTTAAATGAAGCTTCTTAAACATTTTGAAAACCTTGTTTACTTTACATACGACAATTGTTTAGTTATATAATATATAGACTTATAGCGAGAGACCTTCTAAAAAACGGTAAAATGTATGACTGGCACGCGAAACCTTAAATTAAAGTGACTAAATGAAGATTCGGCCCACCGTTTCTGAAAGGTTGCCGACCCCTGCTCTAGTGTCGCATCAAGCTGCATTCCCCAAAAAAGCCTCCCACATGGAGCACTCGCCCTGGGTGGATCAGCGGGCATTGAACCTTGGACCTCTGGAACTAGCATACCCAGAGCTCTTAGCGAAGACTGCAGCAGCCATGTCAAACTTGGCCCAGCTGCCCCTAGACGGCATGACACTGTACGTTTGCATTACACCTAGCAGGGTTTAACTATTCAACCAGCTGCAATAATGGCTGACTGATCACCCATGACCGGAGGCATCTTCCCAAGTGCTCAGTGCATGTTCTCTGCCCCGGGAACCGAAGGACACGCCGTTCCTTTGTGGGAAGGGGGTTTCCGACTCTTGCAATGTGAAATAATAACTCCCAGGGGTGAGGACACTTACGTGAGCGGAGGTCGCGCTGGCTGGTCCCTTGGCCTGGAACATGCTTCCTTCCCACTCTGTCTTTTGCCTTAATCCTGAGGTTGATGTTGGTGGCCAGGCTGTTGTGGCTAAGTCTGGCCCCTCGTGATATCTGGGGAGGAAACGTAAAGAGGAGCACGGCTCGTTGGGGCAGACCCGCTCCCTCACCCCAGACAAGCTGCCACCTGTTCAAGGCTTGGCAGGGACGGTGCATAGAGCTTGTGTGCTTGACCCTGACCGGGTGACTTTGCAAACGGGGTCCCGGGCAAATATGCAGAGCAGCCCCGGGGGGCAGCAGCTCCAGGCTTCCACGGTGTGACATGGGGAAAGGGTGCTGGTAACTGAGGGGGAGGGGGTGATTCAACTCCTCAGTACTGTCCCTTGCCTGACAACACCTCCTTCCCCAGGGTCCAGCCTCTAGGATCACTGAGTAGCTGCACTGGGTCACTGGGCTTTCCTTAATAGGGGTCAGTTGGAAAAAGGCAAGGGCTCTAGATAGTAGCCTCCCAGCATGCCCTTGGGGGCGATTGTACAGTACCTGGCCCATGACTGGGGCTCCTAGGTGCTACAGATAAATAATAATAGCAGTTCACATGCCACGTCCAGGCTCCAGGCCGGAGTCACGCAGATGTTCTGCCCAGGCAGGGAGCCTGGCCATCAAAGGGACACTGGACGTGGGAGGGCGGGGGAGTTGTGAGTGATCTGTCTGTGGGGAGAGCAGGCTGACAAGGAGACAGACAGGTCCTGTCGGTGGGGGCCTTGCCCAGCTCCCGGGGGGTGCTAAGCTGTGGGGAAAAGCAGGCAAGCTCACAGACCGTGTGTGGTTTTAAGAGCTGTGGTGCTGAGAGCACCAGGAGACCTGGGGTCGCCCCCTGCACAGACCCTCAGCTCTAGCTCTAGGAGGGGCCAGGTGGCCGAAGCCTCCCCCCCGCAGGCTTCGCGCTGTCCTCAGGCTGAGCGCACAGGAGTTGCAGCCCCTGAGAAAGTGGCTCCAATTTTACCCAACTCATTTCCCGTCTCCTCTGTGGTTTGCTTGTTATTTCCTGCTCCACCGAGCTGCGCAGCCGGAGTTACACTTGGCCAGACGCACGTGCTCAGCGGGGTCAAAGCAGGCCAGCCACTGCCCGCCGGAACCAGGACCCTGGATCCAAACGCCCACTAAGAAGGGGGTTCACAAGCCAGACCCACCTTGTGGGGCTCAGTCCCCATCCTGGGGCTTGCCCTAGAGCACGCACCCTTAAAAAGAAAACCAGGGCCCTCTCTCTCCTTAGGAGCATCAAAGGGGTCTTTGGACCTCCCGAGAAGCTTCCTGTTCCAGCCAGAACCAGGGCTGAAAAGGAAATGAAGCTCTTACCAGGCTCCGCCAAGCTCCAGCAGAGGCCACGGCTGGGATGGAGCCAAGCGACAAGCTGGGCTGCTTTGCCCCTAGTCAGGAGATTGGCCCTCTGGGGACGGGACGTTCTCAGCACCAAGGAGACGCTCGGGGCTGGGGAGACCTACAGAGAAAACAGAGATAGTCTGCCCTGGTAGAGCAGTGCGGTGAGGGGGGCGCGGGCTCCGATGCCGGGGGGCTTGGCACTGCCCAGTGCCCCACTGCCCTGATGTAAACCCACTCCAGTCAGGGGGGCCTACCCTGCCTGTTCTCTGGGGTCATGGGAGTGTCATCCCGCTGTCCCAAAAACATGTCCAGAGAGCGAGACACCAATGGATGGGGAAACAGCTGCCAAGACATGCAGAAAGCCCCTAGGTTTCTCACCTACCCCCGCCCTCCACATACCTCTCACCATGCCCCACACCTTCAGTCACCCCTCTGCCTCCTCTCCTCACGCCCCTCAACCCCCGCCCTACACATACCTACCCTTAATGCCCCATTCCCCCACACCTCCTCATCCCCACCCCATCCACACCCCTAAGCCCCCACCCAAACACTCCCCTCACCACCCCCTCATTTGCACCCCTCAACTCCCACCCTCCACACACCCCAATGCCCCACTCACCACACCCCCCTCAACTCTGCTCTCCACACTCCCTTCAATACCCCACTCACACACACACCTTCAGTCCCTATCCTCCACACCCCCCAGAGTCCCACTCACACACACACCCTCGGTCCTCACCTTCCACACCCCCCAGTGTCCCACTCACACACACCCCCTCGGTCCCCACCTTTCACACATCCCAATGTCCCACTCACACACACCCCCTCGGACCCCACCTTCCACACATCCCAATGTCCCACTCACACACACCCTCGGACCCCACCTTCCACACATCCCAATGTCCCACTCACACACCCCTCTCAGCCACCTCCCTCAATGTGCCCCCACACTTTCAACTGCCCCTCAACCCCACACTCCCATCAACCTGCTCCTCCCCCTCCCTCTCTACACCCCTCACCTCCCCAAACCCATCCCCCTCCCTGCCTCCCACCTACACACCCCCTCAACGTCTACCACTCCCCTCACCCCACTTCTCCCTCTCCACCCAGATAACCCTCAGCCTGCCCCCCCACACTCCATATACACCTCTCAGGCCCTGCTCTGCGGCTACTTGTATCCCTGCTTGACCTCTCTGAACCCCTCATTCAACCCCCCCAACGTGTGCACACACACACACGATTCATTCAGCCTCCCCCTTGCACCTCTCCGTCCCCCTCCCTCCTCATCTGCCCCCACCACGTCCACCCCTCTCTCCCTCCTTCCACACATCTCACCAAAGCTCCCCCTGCATCCCCTGCCCTGCACAGACCCCACACAGAGACCCTCCCCTCTGTGCACATACCCAGTTCGAACCCTCTCGTCTCGGTAGCGTAGGCCCAGTGGAGGGGCCCCTCAGGGCACAGCTCTGCGGGGATTGAACAGGAGATGTTGCTACACATCCTTCCTGCCAGAGGATAGGGAGGCAGCCATGAGAGCAGCAAGGGGAAGGGTGTGCTCAGGAGTGTGGGTCAAGCCTCCTGAGTTAGGTCAGGCCCCACAGTGCGGCAGCTCCCACCAGGGGAGGCACTAGTACAGACCGGGCTCAGGGGTCGGGGTCAGACGACACAATGGTAGGAACACCGGCTCCCTGTCTACACTACGGCCTCTGCTGCTGGGAGCTGCACAGATAGTGACTGGCGGGGCCCATACTTGCCAGCGTAGATGCATCCAGAAGGGTTGTCGTTGTCCCAGCCCAGAGAGGCTTTACCCATGTCTCTAGAACAGCCTTTCGGGGCATGGCCCCGCTGCTCTAGAACAACCCTGCCGCTCTAGAACAGCCTCTAGAGCAGCCTTTCCGTGTACGTTAGCGTGGCCAAGAGCAGCATTACAGGGGCACTCCCCCCCAGCTCCAGAACTGCCTTCCAGGCTCCATCGTCTTCTGAGCCATCCAGAACAGACTTCCCATGTGCCACCCCCTCTGCTCTAGAACCGCTGTCCAGAGCACAGTGCTGCTGCTCGAGAACAGCCACCTGCTCCCTGCGCTTTGCCCACGGCAGCCACCCATCAGTCTGTGAGAAAGCTCTGGCTAGACATCCCTGGTGCGCTGTAGACGGCTAATGTGCTGGGATCCTCCAACCGGCCTGGCCAGTCACACAGGGCCAATCGGTGTGGCAACACGAGACCTGCACGCTCAGCCACGCTCTTGGGCGGGACGACAGCGTTAAACAAGCAAACTCTGCAGGTGGCATCAAGGGCCTGGGTTTTCCAGGCTGGATCATTCCCAGCTGAACTTAGTCGCTGAGCCCAAAGAGGTCACCTGGCAGGGTCACTCCAGGGTCTAGCCGCTGGGCCGCACTGCCTCTCAGTTCCTATAGTTTTCCAGCGTTATTAGAACAGAGAGAAATAGTTACGGAGCAGGAAGGAAGCATGGTGCTGTGGGCAGGGACCCCACTCTCTGCTCCTGCCACTGGCTTCCTGTGTGATCTCGGGTAAGACTCTTAGCCTCTCTGTGCCTTGGTTTCCGGTCTGTACAATGGGGCTAATAGCACGGCCCTGCTGACCAGGTCTGTTGTGAGGATAAATACACTAGAGACTGCGAAATGCTCAGATAGTACAGCAACGGAGGGCCAGATAAGTACTTAGAGCACGTGTGGGAAAATGACAGCGGGCGAACAAGAGGGGCTGAGATCTGGAACGAAAGAGATGATGAAGCAGAGAGAGCAAGAGAGAGAGAGACAGGCATGGCAGGAAAAGGCAATCCTGTGTGAGGGAGAGCAGGTCAGCGTGAACGGAGGAGAGGGAGAGGAGCAGCCATATGCAGAGTTGCTACCTGTGTGGGTGTGCGTTACACACCAAGACGTGGGACTGAGTCGCGGGTCCCTGTCCACACATCGCCCTATGCCCTAGCGAGAGCGAAGAGGAGGGGGATTGCAACTTGCTTCCACCCACTACAGGGGACGCTTCGCTCTTAAGGTCACTCCTGCTGGAACAAGGCCCAACTATCAGTGATAATGCAGGAGGTAGCCAAAACCAGCTAGGTAACGGAGCTTGTCTTTTCATGGAGGTGAAGGGGACTGGGCCAGATTCATCCCTGGCGCAACTCCACTGACTTCAGTTGGGCCCCCAGTCTTTCAGCACAGGAGGTTGCCCAATCAGGGTTCGGCTGGCCTGTGAACCGGCATTGTCATGCTCTGCAGCAAGAGGTGCAGGGAACCGGCGAGTCATGCACACTAGAGCATACAGGCAGCACCCCACTTGTGCCTTATGGGTCCGCCTTTCAAGGGCTCAGTGCACCCACAACGGGGGGGCTGCATTTCCCAAAGAGGCCCGCACAGCGGGTGCACGCTGGATGCTGGGCTCTTGAAAACTCGAGTCCTTGTTGCCTAAATGGGAGTTGATCTCTCTGGAAAATGGGGGTGCAACTGTAGGTGCCGAGCACTTGGAAACCTGGCCCTTAGCGCTGTCAGAAATTTGCCCCCCCCCGCCCCCGCAAGGCACTGGGCTTCTCTCTCATTTAGATTAAGGCCCATGCTACACCCCTCTGGCAGTGCCATTTACACCCCCTTTATGTGCAAATGAGAATCAAGCCCACTGCAGCCTAGTGATCACGGCTGGGTTTGCAGTGACTTCTGCTAAATCATAGAATCATAGAATCTCAGGGTTGGAAGGGACCTCAGGAGGTCATCTAGTCCAACCCCCTGCTCGAAGCAGGACCAATCCCCAATTAAATCATCCCAGCCAGGGCTTTGTCAAGCCTGACCTTAAAAACTTCTAAGGAAGGAGATTCTACCACCTCCCTAGGTGACGCATTCCAGTGTTTCTATCCTATCCTCATTTCTATTCCTGGCTCTGCGACTCATTCACTTTGACACCTCGGGCAAGGCATCTTCCCACCGTCTGCCTCAGTTTCCCCACCTGCACGGTGAAGCTTGTGATAGTGACCCATGAGACCTCACATCGGGGGTGGGGGGTGCTTTGCCAGGCTAATTCTGTCTGTAGCATACAGCTGGTCAGGAACTTTTCAACAAGTTGTTTTCTCGTCAATAGACAAAGGGTCAACACCGAAACAAAATGTTTTGAAATGATCAGAATGTCCTGACTGACTCAAAGTGGGGGGGAGGGGATCAGTTTTTTGTTTCAAGAATATTTTCGAGATTTGGACTTTTCATCCCAGTCCGAGACAGGGAAAAATGTCAATATATATTCATGGGACAGGAAACCTGTTTCCCACCAGGTCTAATGTAGAGCACTTTGAGATGCGGAGATGAGAGGCTCTCTATTAGTGACTGCTAATTAACGATCGATTATACCGTCGAGCCCGGGCAGCTTGACACACTGGCAGTAACAAAAGGAACGACTTTATTATTTTGGGTTTAATAACCAAGCAGACTCGGTGCCGCTTTCTCATGGCCCCCGTTGACATTCTGCGTCGCATGCTCTTGGGAAAGGGAGGGCTGTCACCCAGCTGCCGCTGGGAGTGGATTCCCCCGAGCCAGGATCAAGTCTGGGCTGACCCAGCAGCAGTCAGTGAAGCTTGTCAGAGAGTAAGCAGGGCTGGCCGTGAAGGGGAGACGTGGGAAATGTCTCCTGCGGGGATTCTCACCCTGCGGAGCCCCTCGGGGCTTTGGGGCATCTTAAGTCCTAGCACAAAATCTCTGCCGAGGAAACTACGTGTATCCCGCTTCACTTTGCCAGCTGGAACATCCTCTCAGGTCAACGGTTGCTGTCACCGATGCCTGTTTGGGAACCTGTGTGGCATGAGTTTGTGGGTGCTCAGCGCAGACCCCCGCAGTGGAACAGTCACCTCCAGCCCCTTGTCAGGAGTGTCACCAGAGAGAGGACGAATGGAACAGACAGTGGTGACTGACCTGCCCCTTCACCATTACAGGGCGCCCCTCCAGGTCGCAAAGGGCTGGAGGGGGCACCAGGACAGCACAAAGGAAGCCTGTGCCCGTCCATGACAATTTGCCAACGCTGGACTTGCTCAGGGCAGAGTCCTGAAGTCCCGGCTCCGGCAAACTCCCAGAGACTTCAGCAAGGGTGCGCCGGAGTCAGGCCCTCAGGGTCTGGCCCTTCCG